TAATCTCATGATATGTCATTGACATTGAATAAGCATCACGTTGTCAATAAATGACAAATGATGTAAGTATAAATATTTTGAATTTAAAACGATGGTCTAAATATATCGTTTTCGCTACGTGGTCCGAGGTTCGTATACTCATCTGTACGCACAGTTGAGAAGTCAAAAATTTTGCTGAAATGATTGACCAGTGTACCACCATCTTAAACACTTGTTCATTTGGTGTTGTTTCATAACAGGAACTGCTCTACCTCAATGACACAATGGATCTTTTTCTCTGTTTAATAAAACATGTGATTCATTTGAATTATCAATAGCAGGTGTTTTGTATTCACAACTTACAAGCATCATCAATGAAGCAAATAAAACACTATTAGTATTTCCCGAAACAATTGAAACATAACTGGTAGCCCATGAATCGACTGCTGAATCTAGTACCGAGGTGACCTTGAAAAAGAAAAAAAAGCAGATACACAACAAAATACAGATGTGAATTACCATTTCCAGTATGTTGCAAACGAAACCTTGTTAAATTTAGTCATTGGGGAAATGTAACTACTTTAATTATTTCACAGTAGTTCATCGAAATTTTACTAAACTAATATACATTAAGTATTCTCAATCATATCATTCTATGGGAATTAGTTTTTTACTACAACACTAGTTGCAACCTGAGTACCAATGATATTCACGAAATATTTTACTCTCTACTGTTTATGATTAGGACGATAATTCATGGACCATCTATGAGCGACGCGAAATTTGACTTCTGGAAAATTCACGTACTTACTAGGGTCTAAAGAGAGTTGTATATCGGTGTGGGGAACTAGAATTAGGATTATGACTTAGAGATTTGATATTGTATTTAAAGTTAGATTTTTTATCAAGCATCGACCTCGGCTACAATGCCTAGATGTGTTTTAATCAAATGGATGGATGGATTTAGTGCTGAAATTCAAGAACTACCATCAGTAATTTTGTTGTTACATCCTTAATTTATATTCTAACCAGAAAATGTCTTCGTGAAAATTCTACGCTAAACATTTTGTTTGCTATATTATCAAAATTTTATGTATGTGTTGGATGAGGACACAGGTTGATCTACTGGTTAATCGCTTAGTTAAATATTTTATACTAAAAAGTTGCAGTGAGATTATAACTATGGAACTATGATCCAGTGATCGAGGCGATTAGAATCAAGGAACTAAGACTCAGATACAAAGCCCAATTCACAAGATTAAGTTTAGTCAATCAGACAGTATCTCTAGTATCCACACTCAAAGATTTACTAGAGATCAGGCACACAGTCATCATCATCATCATCATCATCATCATCATCATCATCATCATCATCATCATCATCATCATCATCATCATCATCATCATCATCATCATCATCATCATCATCATCATCATCATCATCATCATCATCATCATCATCATCATCATCATCATCATCATCATCATCATCATCATCATCATCATCATCATCATCATCATCATCATCATCATCATCATCATCATCATCATCATCATCATCATCATCATCATCATCATCATCATCATCATCATCATCATCATCATCATCATCATCATCATCATCATCATCATCATCATCATCATCATCATCATCATCATCATCATCATCATCATCATCATCATCATCATCATCATCATCATCATCATCATCATCATCATCATCATCATCATCATCATCATCATCATCATCATCATCATCATCATCATCATCATCATCATCATCATCATCATCATCATCATCATCATCATCATCATCATCATCATCATCATCATCATCATCATCATCATCATCATCATCATCATCATCATCATCATCATCATCATCATCATCATCATCATCATCATCATCATCATCATCATCATCATCATCATCATCATCATCATCATCATCATCATCATCATCATCATCATCATCATCATCATCATCATCATCATCATCATCATCATCATCATCATCATCATCATCATCATCATCATCATCATCATCATCATCATCATCATCATCATCATCATCATCATCATCATCATCATCATCATCATCATCATCATCATCATCATCATCATCATCATCATCATCATCATCATCATCATAGCGTTCTCGGGATCGAATGACCGAATATAATGCAGACGTTGATTTTATATGTGATGTTTTATCATACATGATATGCTTGTGAAGTAATATCAGCCTGTTAGACGATTTTCTGTTTGAAGTAATTTGATTTGAATTGATAAAATGTAAACAAATTGTAAATAAATCAACTTACCAATGTCGGCTGTACTTTGTATGTAATAATTAATGCAACTACAGCGATAGTAATTGCTACCACAATGGCAAGATACTTCAAATTTTTTTCATGGTTGTTTTGTTTTAAATGAACGGTGAAACAATGAAAAGGCGAAAAACAGTATGAAATTAAAAACCATACTATTGAAATAGTTAATTTTCATTACAAATAAACAAGATGACTTGCATTTATTTCTGTCAAATTCTAAGTAAATATAAACTTGTGGAACTTCCTAAACCATATTCGTGACGAAATTATGTTATGTTATGAATCAACAATATCTCTGTGCTGATGTGGTATGGCAACTTGTACTGATGTACGTACGTACGAAGTTCTACGTTGTCGCTGACTGATACTATATTTGCAAAAAATGCATTATAGATTAATAGTATCTAGCTAGATACTATTATATGACATTTTCAATCTTTACTGATCGGTATTACAGATTGACTTAATTTATTATTCAGTTAAGCCTGTTAGGATTATCACAGTTAAGTGAACTAATCAAAATTCCAGTTAACGAATATGATATTAGTTTTTGTGAGTATTGTATCAACTGATTTATAACTTTTTTTCCATTCTGGTTAGAATGTTCACTCTTAATTTTCTATTCATAATCTAATGGATGTACTTTGGCTCTGAGATATAATTATGTTCTACGGTCGGATTTAGTTGTAGTTTACCCTTCTGAAGACTAATCCAGCCAGCCTTGAAGAGGGAGAAGACTACGATTATTTGACTGAGGCTTGAACCCAGTACTTTCACTTCAAATGACAACTGTGTTATCCATCGAACCACCGAGACCAGATAATCACCTGATTTTGCAATTCGTGTATACTACTAGTATTAAGCAAAGATGGATGGTGGCCAGTAGTGGAATACAGGACGCGCGTTTCTTTCTATTTGAGACTCGTCAGCTGGATAAGACTGCATCCCAGAATTGATGTTTACCCTGGGACTCCAACCCAGTACCGTTCAGTTCAAACGCCATCTTGTTATCCACTTGGCTACTGAGTCCTGATAGCCACCTGCTTGTGCAATGGGGTGAAGTTTAGATTCACTTAGTGTTGTTTTGTATGTACCTTCCCATTGTTATTTAGGACTGAAATTGATCAGTCTCATGTTGGCATATGTGCAGACAGTGCTGGGTTCGAGTTCTAGAGTGAACATAAACTCTGGGATGCAGGTACATTCAGCTGACGAGTTCTACATAGGGCAAGACGTGCGTCCTAGATTCCACTGCTAGCCATTATCCATCTTTGCTTAAAAAGCTTGTGACTTAAGGCTATATCGAGGCAATACGCACAGGATGTACATATGCCAACATGAGACTGATCGATTGTAGTCCTAAATAACAATGGGAAGATACAAGTAAAACAACACCAATAGTATCAAGATTTGAATTATCTCGTTGTTGATACTAAGAAGTGGATTGTCGTCACTCTTTGGTTTCTATATGTGCACATACATGTTGTCAGTTGATCAGTCGTTCCGTCTTCTGTAATCCTGTGGGCTAATTTAGAGGCGGTTTGAGAAAGAATTACAAATTAAGCCACCTACTAGAACAATTCAAATGTGTATTTATTCAAACTGCTCAATAAAAGTATCAACACCACTTACCAATCCAAGACAAACTTTCGATCTACAACATACACCAAATATACCCAACAAACAGATTGCCATCAGTATCATTCCGATGATGAAAATAACCAGGCCAATCGGTTCTATATTGACAAAATATTAGAAAAACAAAGTGACAAGCTAAAAATAGGATCCATAGTGAACAGTCTACTTTCAATTATTACTTCTAATCATGATGATGAGAACAAATCTCCTAATCAACGGACATCAATAATGCATTACTTACGAATGATTACCAAGTTGCATTACAAATCGATTGAAGTTGAGAATGTTGATCGTCAGATTCAAATCCAACAATTTAAGGTTTGTACGCTCACCATGAAACCCTAACTTCGTGGATTCGACATATAGGAGATCTGTGATTGTGCACCGTTGAGACGTTATACCCTACGACAACGGAATGTACGTTGCTCCGTCAGATTTAATGGTTCCTAACTTATTAAACAAGTGTTTGATAACTACCAAAAGCTGGATGGTAGACTAACTACATTATGAGCCGTCAAGATTCTAGTTTTATTATAGCAATGGGCATACATGAATTTAACCATATGTCTAAAACAATTATCCAGGTGATCTGTTTATCACCGAGTTATCAGTTGTTTTCTTTTTGACAAACTTGTTTATTAGTCTCTTCAAACTAGAAAGCCTACCGTTCTTCATACTGGGTGATTAGTGTTTTACGAAAATAAAGACACATCAGTATTTGATAGTTGACAGCTTTATCAACGAGTTTCTCTCCATTTCAAACATGTTAACTTCATATTAAATGTTTTGGATATCATACTAGCTATACCTCATATTCACGAAACAATTAGTAGTAATCTGTTGTAGGATACATAATTATTCACTGATAATCACTCTAATAGATCGTTGTCATCATAAATAATCCTAAATGATTAGAGTAAACTCAGTCAGTGTTTATCATCAATAATACCACTTCAACTTATACGAACTAACTGAGAATAGTCAACTGAGGAAGTTAATTTCCCATTCATTTTTATCAATTACATTTGTTTATGACTTATTATTTTTAAACTATTCACAAATATACAATTCATTAATAATAAGTAACTGGTGAAGCTTTAACTTACTAACAATGCTAATAATATTATTCACTAATGTAGTAGTATCCACGGACATTTTACTCGAAAATGTTGTTTTAATATATGACACTAATGTACTGCTTAAAATATCTGTAATTGTTGTTGAACTCCATGCAAATATTCCACCAGCAATAGCGATAGCGATTGATATTGCCTAACCAAAGTATAAAAGGGAATGATGTTACTTCCTTGAAAGTGAATATCTTTATGTATATATGTATAGTTAAAAATGTAATAGTAGAAACAATAGTGTAGGATAGCGTATGTTTTTACCCGAATTGGGTTTATAATATATAGTATAGAAGTGAATATGAGTTATTGAAAAGAGTCACATTTTATTTCAGTTGTGTAATCTCAGATTAACTTCTTGATATTATCGATAAATATGATCCTGAACGTTGTGTATTCAAATCACTATTACTCAAGCTTTATGTGGTTTGTTATCGATGAATACTGCGAAACATGTATTTAATATGACGATTAGTGTAAATGTTTCTGTTAAGCAGTACACGAATCGAACTTTCAATGTTTTTGGTGAAAAATTGAATCATCTTTTATGAGAGTTACGTTAATTGGGAGCTGTATTTAAAACATTGTTTGATTAAGGCTCGTAAACAGTGCAACGATGATGTAGAGCTGAGACGGTCACTGACTAACCGAATTGATGATTACCATTGAATGATTTTTGGGATCATCATCACCCATTATCGTTTAGAATAACTAAACAGTCTGACAACTAAAGATTTTCATAGATGGCTTGGACAGAAACCAAAGAGAAGTATTATCACTATTTGAGGATATTGGGAGATGATAAGCATTACGTACTCCAAGTATTGCGAAATGTAGTTGCTATCAGTTTAATTCCGGTAATTTTTGTAATGAGTGGTGTATATGTAAATGATACGTTCATATTTGAATTGAAGTCTGAAATGACTAGTATTCTGTGGGAATTTAATTCGCTTAATTTAGATGACAATGCTTATTTGAAACAATGTAGTGTTCTGCCACAATAAAATTCAAACAATCTGATCATATATTTATAAGGGAATCTTTGCGATACCCGTTAAAACTTGGTAAAAGATAATTAGTACTTAATTGAGCAGCAGGCTATCACAAATGGAGTTTAGTTGATCCGAACATTATTAGGAACGTAAAGAAACGATATATTCTCATCAATCAGTGAGTCTTCAAGTCAGTAATCTGAGAAAAGATGCTTCGAGTTCTAACTTGGCTTAGATCTCTTATCAACATTCGTCATAATTATTGTTCATATAAGCTAATCAAGTGGCTAATTTCCGGTAATCTTTGTGCATGTTTATTCCCTCAGATTAATTCCATGACGAATTTAACTGAGATAAGGTTGCTGACCAGTGAGTATATGACTTCAATGAACTTCATTTCAGTTTTAGATTTTAGACTTTTTAGCTATCTGTATGATGGATATTATTATAATCATACCGATCATTAAAATGAATGATCGAAATTCAATGCAATGCTTACTTACTTACTTACTTACTTACGCCTGTTACTCCCAATGGAGCATAGGCCGCTGATCAGCATTCTCCAACCCACTCTGTCCTGGGCCTTCTTTTCTAGTTCCATCCAATTCTTGTTCATTTTTCTCATGTCTATCTCCAATTCCCGGCGTAATGTGTTCTTTGGTCTTCCTCTTTTCCTTTGACCTTCAGGATTCCATGTGAGGGCTTGTCTTGTGACGCAGTTGGGTGCTTTCCTCAATGTGTGTCCTATCCACTTCCAGCGCTTCTTCCTGATTTCTTCCTCCACTGGGATCTGGTTTGTTCTCTCCCACAGTACGTTGTTACTAATAGTGTCCGGCCAATGGATCTGAAGTATTTTGCGTAGACAACTGTTAATAAACACCTGTATTTTCTGGATGATGGCTTTTGTAGTTCTCCAGGTTTCTGCCCCATACAGTAGAACTGTCTTGACATTTGTATTGAAAATCCTGACCTTGGTGTTGGTTGACAGTTGCTTTGAGCTCCAGATGTTCTTTAGTTGTAAATATGCTGTTCTTGCTTTGCCGATCCGCGCCTTTACATCTGCATCAGATCCACCCTGTTCATCAATGATGCTGCCCAAATATGTAAAGGTTTTTACATCTTCCAAATCTTCTCCGTCAAGTGTGACTCAGTTATTGCATGTTGTGTTGTATCGGAGAATTTCGCTTTTCCCTTTGTGTATGTTGAGACCTACTGCTGCTGAGGCTGCTGTCACACTGTTCGTCTTCTCCCGCATCTGTTGTTGCGTTTGGGATAGAAGGGCTAGATCGTCTGCGAAGTCTAGATCATCCAACTTCATCTTAGATGTCCATTGTATCCCGCGCTTCCCTTCAGACGTTGACGTCTTCATGATCCAGTCGATCACCAGGAGAAAGAGAAAGGGTGAGAGTAAGCAACCTTGCCTAACACCGGTCTTCACTTCGAACGGCTTTGTCAACTGTCCTCCATGCACAATTTTGCAGTGTAATCCATCATATGAGTTCCGTATGATATTGACTATCTTCTGAGGCACGCCGTAGTGTCGAAGAAGTTTTCATAGTGTTGTTCTGTCCACGCTGTCAAATGCCTTTTCGTAGTCAATGAAGTTGATGTAGAGTGATGAATTCCATTCAATTGATTGTTCCACAATGATCCGTAGGGTTGCGATTTGGTCTGTACACGATCAATCCTTACGGAATCCTGCCTGTTGATCACGTAGTTGTGCGTCTACGCAGTCCTTCATCCTGTTTAACAATACCCTGTTGAAGACTTTTCCCGGTATTGAGAGAAGAGTGATGCCCCTGTAGTTATCACACTTGCTGAGATCGCCTTTCTTCGCTATTTTGATTAGAAGTCCTTCTTTCCAGTCTGTTGGCACTTGTTCCTCATCCCAAATCTTATTGAAGTCAATGCAATGCACTAAGTACCAAACGACAAAAATAATTTTGTTTAAATTAGCGGTATTCCTGTCTGGAATATCGAGTGATTATGATAATTGAAGTTGAGGAATATTTAAATCAGAGCTGTTTAAGAACATTACATTCTCCCTTTAGGAGTTCAGTTTACACAACGTAAGAAAATTATAGACATTAAATTCACTTGGTATTCTTATACTTGAATGTTCCCATTGATGTTTAGCACTGCAGTTGATCAGTCTCTTATCGACATATATTCATACTGTGCGTATTGCCTCGATATTGCCTTAATTCACAAGCTTTATAAGCAAAAAAGGATAGTGGTTGCGATGGAATGCAGAAAGCACGTTTCGCCCTATGTAGAACTCGTCAGCTGGATGTGCTTGCGTCTCAGAGTTGCTCATTTGTTATCACATTATCTAATACTCAATATCATCAAAAAATACTAACAACACAAGTAGACTATCAATATCAATTTAAGACACGTGAATTAAGCTCTTTGTAATAGATAAAACAAGATCTACTTCTATTTGGAAATATCAGAAACACAATCTACGAAGAACACTTAACTGTAAAATGAAACACCAACGTGATAAAGAGTGTAATTCTATTGAAGATTGTTTGTGAAGTGAAATGTGAATAATTACGAATCTAGGACATTTGTTGAGTTTGTGATTCGAGAATGCCTCCAACTATCACAAAGAACAGGCCAATTAATTTTATGAAATATGTGAGTTGATATGTTAAATTTTGCTGAAAAATATCAAAAGAACTACTCACCAGAAATATACTGTTAATTATAGTTAAAATACAACCACATGCACCCATTGTTTAGTGTAGTTGAATCTTGTCTTTTCGATTCTGAACACTGAGAAAGATGATATCAACGAAGATAAAAAGATAAGAAATGAGTGGATGTTTTCAAGGCAATATCTATGTATAAATTAAAATACTTGTTAACTATCAGTAAATCATCAAAAAGATGAATCGACTCCAGCTTACATGAATAAATCTTATAATTTGTTGAGTCATTATCGAGGTCATTAACCTGTTAATGTTAGACCACCATTGAAAACCTGGAAGTGCTAAACATCCGTTTCGTCCTAGTATAGGGCTCGTGGACAATGCGCACCCACTATCCGTCACGCAGGTTTCCAATTTAGGACCTTAAGTCTCATACGAACACTTAACCTCTAGATCACTGAATCGGGATCTGATGGTGTTAATGTCTAAGTTCAACCAATCTATGATATTACGTGACCATTTTCCATTGTCTTTGTGGGTAACTGACTCACACCTATTTGGTCATTATATAATCCAAATACCTTATAAGCAATAGACGTAATATTTTTGTATATATGATTTTTGAATAAAGGGGAATTTTCATGCACGTTTACATCAGATGAAATTCACTAACGAATCAGGAATTTCACTTGTTTGGAATCCGCAATGGAGGCATGAAATCTGTCTTTCATTTTGCAAGCAAGTTGTTTGTGATATGCATCATGCAACTGAAAGACTGGGTTCATTTCAATTGACTTAGTTAACTACATGTAAATCCGGAAGACAAGTATTTAGTAAGAGTATCGTAAATTCATTAAACTGTTGGAAGTAATCAGGTAGTCACCTTGAACTTTAATTTCATTCTCGAAAAAACTTGCCATCGAAAATGGTATGAAATCTTCATGAAACTAATGCTCAACGTGGGATTCGAATATATATTATTTAGCATCACCTCAAGCGATGTTACGGCTGAAGTATTTGGGGTAACATTGATCACCTCTATGAGTGAAATATTCACACTGACTGATCACTGAGCTGTAATTCTCTTTCCGTTTGTCCTATCTTATGCGCTGATCGGATAATATCAATAAATTTGCTAAGTAGTCACCATTCAACCGCTTCCTACTGATTGCACCAGACCAATGATATTTGTCTGATTGACAGATCCTGAATTAAACTAAACAACGATCAAGGTCTAGCTCATTTCGTCTCGAAGCTTATTGAAATAAATCATTTATAGTACAACTCAGTGTCAAGCCACAAACATCAGGTCTTATGAAGGGTGTTTCGCCTTCAAACTATTAGTTTCCACTCCAATAGTCACATTTCCAACATTAGTTGATTAACGGTGTGATACTGGGATCAAGCAACACTATCATTGAGCAACCATCGAATTAAAGACCTTCCCATTAGAACCTCAGAAAAAGTATTCTTGTGTGTGTGTGTGTGTGTTACGTCATTCAAACAAAACGCATGGCTATACCGATTACCATAACCTCTTAACTAAACTTTCTATCATTGTGATAAAACATTCATGATTTCACTTTTATTTAAACCAAATAAATATTAAGACATTACGAAGGAAAATGTTGCTTATAAAATATATGCGATTGAATTTTAAGTCAATCTAACGTTTCCCCTAACAATCTGGTTTAGGCTATTTCTAGGATATATCACAATTAGTAATTGAGATTTTACAAATATAATTTTCTTCCTTAGTGTTTTTACATTAACTCAACGCCTATTTATTGTGAAACTTTTACTCAAGTTTCAATGGAAATTCTTACATATTGTTGGTAAGCTATTAACTGGATAAATTGATAAGCTAATTGAAAAGTGAAAAAAAAGCAAGTTAAGAAATGGGAACTTACAATGTTAGACTGTACAGAAAAGTCAAAATATGCACTATCCGTCTTCACTTTTTGTTAAAGTAATGAATAGTGATGATTAACAGTACAAAGCTAAAAATGATATCACCAACTTAAAAGTAAGCGAATAATATTGCGTT